GCAATGAATGAATGAATAAATATTTGGACTATGTGCTACCTACATTAGAACTCTTGTTGTTGTTAGGTGCCATTGAGTTGGCTTCAACCCATAGCAACCCTAGGTACAACAGAACAAAACACTGTCTGGTCCTGTGCCAGCCTCACAAGCCTTGCTATACCTGAGTTCATCATTGTAGCCACTGTGTCAATCCATCTCATCGAGGGCCTTCCCCTTCTTTGCTGACCCTCCATTTCACCAAGCATGATATCCTTCTCTGGAAAATGGTCCCTTCTGACAACATGACCAAACTAGGTAGAACTCTAGGGTGTCATATATTTACTCTCAGACACTCCTCAACACACTCATCACAATAGCTTCTTCATAATCTGTAGCAGGTTATATTAAAGAAGAAAACAGGATCTTATAGTACTTCTGGAATCCTTCTGGATCAGATTCTACTTTAGCAGATGAGGTTATGTTAAGTTCCAATGTACAGAAAGGCCTATGTCAGCAGATCAGTGGGGCTGATATGGGTGTTTTTCTATGTGTGGACCCAGATTTACTTTCAGGAGTGTGGGATGGGTGGGGTGGGGCATGGAGCCATTCTGGGCAAGACAGAACATACTGGCTTCCATCTCCATATCTGCTTCTAGCACTGACCACACACTTATGTCCAACACTGAGATTTTCTCCTATGAAAACAGATATTCCCTCAAACAGGGGTATCACTTCAGAAAAGAAACTTCCCAATGGAAATTTGGGAAGGAAAATGTACTATATGTCCAAAGATTCATTTTTTGATTTGAAATTGGTTTGGCGTTAGAGTAAGATAGAAAAGGAAAGCTGACAGTAATAGGTATTTTGAGGATTTTTTTTAAAGGATTAAAAAGAAGTATTTATCATCAGCATTTTGATCAGTAATAATATGAGCATTTTTGTTGGCGTTAATGTGTGTTAGTGAGAAAGTAAGTGGAGAAGAAAAAAGGAAAATAATTTTTTCAGAACGAAGTTTGTCATCCACTAACAAAATAATCATGTTCTTTCTCTTTCCTCTGCTGTAACATAACAACAAATTATCCATTCACAGGTTAGTCAAATTGGTGAAAAGTAGCATCACTAAAGCTATGTTTCTCACTGAAGCACATGAAAATTATCTAATATCATTCCAAATCCTGAAGTCATCTTAAAATATTTTATAAAGAATTGAAAATAAAAAGTTTAAGTGAAAATTGCTGCAAGTTTGCATTTGCCTTGACATTATGTTATTTTTTAAAGATAATGGTTGCCATTATAATAAAGATGGAAGAAAATTATGTGATTCTTTCTAGACCATGAGATTTAAATATTCAGAATGTTCTTAAAGACTAAGTGACACAACCCACACCTCCTGCAACTTCACTTACTGAGTGACAGCCACTACCTCCTTCTCCACCAACGGGCCAATGATAAAAAACTGCCAAGAAGAGCCTGAATCACCCTTG